GCCTCCTATATCATTAAATAATGTTAATGAACGGTTCTCGAACCACGATGTTCTACAAACGAATCCCATGCTGCCTACACCACTACTGATTACACAATATATTTTTCCTTCTATATTAACAACTCCGAAGATCCTCGTTTCCCCCACTCTCATCTTCTTCCTCCTAAAATTCTTTTCATCCGACTCATATCCCACTCCTCCAAATCATACAAATTCCCACATCTTCCATTCCTTCAGCAGAAGACTTCTCTCCAAAAGATAAATTTCGCTCTACAAAATGTACTATTACATTACTTTCTACTATGCGCCGTTAGCGAACATTCAAACACCCTTTACTATTTTAGAACGTAAGCGTTGGGCAATCTCCGATGGAATGGTTACCACATGAACGGTGGTTAGTAGAAAACGTCTGGTGGACTTCATCCTGCAGATGGAGGAATACCTCAGTCACTTAGACGCCCAGGGCACCTGTACCATCCAATATATGTTCTACAGTATTTTACACATAAAGCACTTCTTTAAAATGAAATAACAGAAACAGTTGCACTCGTACTGTGTAGTATATATATTTATTTAAATAAACTTTATAACAACTACACCTTTTTGTTATTTTTCCTACACTTTCTAAAATACAGTGATCTTGAAAGTGTTGAACAATAATAGGGTGTGACGTTTATAATCACTACTATTGAAGCTACAGGCTCGTGGTACCAATTCGAACATAAAATGTTATATTACTTCTATTATTGGAAACAAACATATTTATTTAATCACATATATGACTGTATCACAGGCCATATATATGTTAACAGTCCTGGATCCTAACAAATTGGAACTTCAAATTTACGAATATGCATTTCGTGTTCAATTGCCTTCAGATTGCTGAATGTTATAACACATTCTACTGCATTTCTTTTTATACAACATAATTTTCTTCAAAATAAAATAACCTATGATTGTTCCTCTCCCTTTTTTCTTTTCTTTCAGTAATCTTTCATTCTTTTGCATGTTTCTTCATGTCATGATCCTTTATTTCACCTTCCCGTTTTCGCTTCTCCCGTTGAAGTGTCTTCACTGCTTCTCGCACCTGCTCCACCAGCTTTGAATAATCCAGCGGACCGCCCGACACTCTTCTGTTGTACGTTCGCTCCTTAGGCGTAATACTTACGGATTTACCGCCCCCTGTCGACGTCTGCGATGTACTAGCCACAGGCACTGCTATCCTTTCCGTGGCTACATCTCCTATACATGATTTTCCTCCACCGACCGGTGCTGTCTTGCTCACCATCTGATCGTTGTGGAAGAAATCCTCTAGCATCGTTGACAGCTCCGACTCGTTCAAGCTAATCACTGACGGATCAGCAGCATCACACTGCTACAATTCAGTCATTTCACTTAATCGTTTCCTCTATACTTCTCTCTTAAATATTTCCAACAACCCCTTCCCCCAAATCCCTCACCTTCTTCATATTCTCTCACTTCTTCATATTTTCTTACATTGTTAAATTTATTTCACGCATGGTCATTCTCAGTCTTTCTCGAGACACCTCTGTTACATCTAACCGATATGATTCGTTGTCTGGACTGCGATACGTCCTTTACGCGGTTTGGCAATTTAAAATGATATGAAAAAGTTTCCTGTCGTAAACAGCACCATCCTGATTCCTCGCTACTGACTAAAAAACCGAAATTTGTTGCATCTGCCAGTCTTCCGGCCGCTGGCGTTAAACGTGCAAAATATATGTTCTTCAATCTTTGTACAACGGTCACTTACGCACCCTACAGCATAAGCAAAATTGTTGTTCACCTCTTGAAGAGGGAATCGGTTCCCTTTCCTCTGCTTTCGCTAACAGTATTACTTTGTTTTTTCGTATTACGTCTGCGAAATACCTTTTATCGTATAACGACTTTTTCACCGATGTTCTTAACAAATGCTTGCCTGTTATACGCAATCAGATACCTCCATGACACGCTTAAAATAAATCTCGAAGTTTTTGGACATTATGTGCACGAAACCAAACAGTTGGTTGAAATTAAATCCTTCAATACCAACAATAAAGTTGTGGCTCGATCGATCGATTTTCTCAATCTTCTACAAAACTTCTTTGAGATACTTGAGGCTAAAGCGTCAGAGTTTCAAGAACGAAAGTCAGGTAACTGATCTTTTCAGTATACGTTTCATTTCATTTAACATTTTCCCATTTCTACAGGATAGATTTTAGAAAGGGTTCTTTTCCTTGAAATCAACATTAACAAGTACAATCCGCTGAGAGCGTCTTGCTACAGTCCCTTACCGAAACAAATTTTACTCAAGAAAGCGGTTGTATATGTGCGAAACGATGACCAGGTCAGCTTCGCATGGGCAATTACGTCAGCTTTGTATCCCGCATCAGCGAACCCGCAAAGAAATACTTCCTACCCACATTATTCCCGCACTTTGGACTAAGACGGTATCCAATTTCCTATGAAATTAACTGACATACCGAAATTTGAATCGAAGAACCACTGCTCTGTGTATGTCTACGGGACCGAATCCGTTTTGAAAGAGGAAAGTGGATATGGGAAATCGTTGGCCCCCTTTACTACTTACCCATCAAGCGACGGCTATACTTCAATCTGCTCTTGCTCGATGATGATCTAGGAAATAATCACTACTGTTGGATAAAGTACATGTCTCGTGTACCCTCTCAAAAACTTTCCAAAATTGGACATCGCAAATTCTTATGCGACGGTTGCCTACAATACTTCTCCACTTTACCCCACTTACATCGTTATCAGCAGCATGATTGTAATAATGTTTACACCAGCCTTCCCACGGTGATTTCAAGATGGATAAGATGGGTAGGTTCGTCCCCAATCACATTTTAAAATTTGAAAATTACCAGAGACGTATCAAAGTACCATTTGTTGTATACGCAGACTTTGAAACCGTATTGCGACCTTTTTATACGTGCTTTCACGATCCTAACAAGACCGCCACCACATCCACCCACAAACATCAACCTCATTCCTTTGCTTATTTGATGAAGTGCTCCTTCGATGATTCCTTCTCCAAATTCAGATCATATCGAGGGCCCGATTGTGCCAATCAATTTATTACTACTCTCGATCGAGATGTTTATGCTATTTACCACCGATATTTGAAGATCGCTTCTCCCATGATACCACTGACAGATGAAGAAATACGTCTGATAAAATTGGGAATTCAGAGTGAGTATCCTAGCGTTGCTTGCACCTTTCTTTCTAGCCACCCCCAAACACTCATCTCATAAGCAGCGTGTTTCGTTTACGTTGCATACAAAGGTCTTCATTAGTTTGTGTGCAAGATTACCTGCTTTGGAAGAGTCCACCATTCACCACGGTGAAAACCACCCACAGCACCACTAAGCTACTCAATCTACTCAGTGAATATTGAAAGCAGAGGTTTCAATTATCGTTACAAAAATATTAGCATGCTAGTTGATGATTTATGTAAAGGTAACGCAATTGTCTTCTATCTTATAGACTATTACTCCTACCCAGTGAATCAGACAGTAGTTCAGTATGTACCGTAACAGTAAAGTCCAACCTACAATAGAATACCTTCTAACAGAATCAATAAGCCGCTGTAAAAAAACAGGGCAATAATTGCTACCTATGTCTCATTTTAGTAGTTTTCTTTAAAGTTGTACCACGGATGTAATCGTGTCGTAATCGTCTCCGTATAATTTTGGAAATTCAAAGAAAATGGTAGAGTTTCCCAATGTCATTCAAACAACCTGCAACAATATCTTTAAATTTTAATATTTTACTGTTCTTTAAAACCTAACTTGGGACAAAATGGTTACAGCAACAAAAGCAGTTATGTAAGTTAATTTGCCCCTCTGTACCGGTGTTGTCTTGCTACCTCCGTATTCAGGTATTGCAATTTAGAATAAACGACTTGGCTTGATAGGTGTACTTTCTTTCTCCGCGAAAAAGTTTTAAATTGTCAAGTACCTACAAATTATTACCTTCGCAAATATAAGAGGAGTTCCAGCGGGCTTTGAAGAAACTCACAAAAGCCGCTGAATTGGGGTTAACATTTCGTGCAGTATGACTGCGATTGTTTCCGAAAAAGTTTGCCAAACAATCGTAATCACCTCCTCCTACTAGGAACTAATGTGAAAAATGCAAAGGGTAAACTGCCAAAAGATTATTTTCGTAATTAAATGCTTACCCATAGAATGCGACCCCACATAGGTATTATATATTTTTGAAAAGAGGAAAAATTATGCTATTAACTATGCTTCCTATTTAAAAAATATAAGTTTATATCTTAACTCGAAAGAGGATGATTTTTTTAATTTTTCTGACACCACTGTATGTAAAAGAACTGCTTGAAGAACGTAAAAGTTGTTTTTTTTTTTATTCTTACAAACAACCAAGATAAGGACATTTTCAAATTTTGTTTATAACTCTAAAACAAAAGCAAGTTTTTGAAAACACCAATAAATTTGTATCAAAAAAAGAGATAGGGAAGCCGCCATCAATTTTTTTGGATTTCTAATAACCGAGTTGTTCTATACAAACGTCGAAATTTGCCTACCCTGTACACTTACATAAAACAGAGCCTCATTTTTCCACAGTAATATTTTTTCATTCATTATGCTTTTGATAAAAGATATCGTTTCTATGTCACGGTAATGTTCATTAAAATATATGCGCTTTTTATGCAATTACATAAATTCCATTTCTTTATAAAACCTCTTTATAATCCTCGTATTTTTTTCTGCGTGTATTTCCTACCCAACAGACAACCCTGTTACCTCACTTGGAACAGCAGGTTGTCTACATTGTTTTTATAGCAAAATATCATTCGCTTCTGCAACCAAATTTTCATTTTATTCCCTGACGGTACCACTAGCGTACTCTTATAATTTGACTGCAAAGCTTACCGAAACTTCTCTATGGTACGCAGTGTTATTATCTAATTTATAGGCTAGGTTGTATCGGGTTTAAATAAGATCCATGGGAACACAATTGTCTATGGATCAGAATAAACCAGCATAAACCAGTGAAGAGCAATAAAAAGCAGGAAACGTACAACAAACCGTTACGGCTTTGGTTTCAGCTTTTTCCAGTCTGTTCGTTTAAAAATCACGGTCACTGTTTAGTCATCGTCATCAACAGTGATTTTTCAATCACCGGTGATGAAATACCGGGCATCACTTGTTTGCGGATAATAATAAGGCACAGTTCATAGATAAGGTCATTTTAAATAATAAGTGGTGAGAATATTGGTAGTGTAAACTTTTAGTGAAGCCTCACCCAACCTACATAATTTTACGAATTCATATAAATTCCCAACTAGAAGCACTGTAGTAACTGTACATATGTGTCCGAATTTAATACATTTTTATGAGTAGTTGAGATTGAAAGATTTGGCAATTTTTGCGTAGCCTTCGTTTAGATATGTCTTCCGGACGTCCCATAAAATGTGTTGTTGTTGGTGATGGTACTGTTGGAAAAACGTGTATGCTTATATCATATACAACGGATAGCTTTCCCGGTGAATACGTTCCTACAGTGTATGTGTTCATATAACGTTAATGTTGCAATTTCTTCTTTACATTGTTTTATTTCAGATTTGACAATTATTCTGCTCCTATGGTTGTGGATGGGATTTCTGTTAGTTTGGGACTTTGGGATACTGCAGGGCAGGAAGATTATGATAGACTACGTCCATTATCATATCCTCAGACTGATGTTTTCCTAATATGCTTTAGTGTTGCTTCACCTTCCTCATTTGAAAATGTTACTTCAAAGTGGTATCCAGAAATCAAACATCACTGTCCTGATGCACCTATAATATTAGTTGGTAACTCATTATCAGGTTTTGTAATACCGGCATTTTAATTTTGAATTGCTGTTAGGTACAAAAATTGATTTACGTGATGATCGTGAAACCTTAAATGCATTAGCCGATCAAGGCTTAAGTCCTATTAAGAGGGAGCAGGGGCAGAAGTTGGCAAACAAGATTAGGGCAGTTAAGTACATGGAATGTTCAGCTCTAACACAAAGGGGGCTTAAACAGGTATTTGATGAGGCAGTAAGAGCTGTGCTTAGGCCTGAACCTCAAAAACGTCGTCAGCGTAAGTGTATTGTAATGTAAAGTATATTGTGGATGTCACTAACTAAATTAGTTGACTTTTACTTAATTCAGTTTTCCATTATATAGCAGAAAATATTTCTAACATTAAAATTGTATAAAATTTTAGTTAAATTAAGTTGTTTCACTAGGCAGCTATGGTTGCAATAATTTACATTTAAATTTTACACCTACAGTTTTAATGGAAAAACAAATTAAGTGAATTTGATGAAACGAAACAAAAACGTTAATAATTGAAAGTCATTATATATTAAGTAGCAGAAGTAATTTTACTTCAGTTACAATATATGCTTACTTGCATTGATGAGTAGAAGTCACAAAAATTAAATTACATAAATAATTGTCACCCTTACTTTTAGGGGCAATAGGGAAGGAAAGTCTGATTTTGCGTTTTTTATTGTTATTTCTTTAACTCCTTTTTATAATTCTGATTTATATCAATTTTTATATTAGAAAACCATAGATCAAATTATCTTTTGCTGGTTGAGTGATTGAATTACCTTGTGCTGGTTGATATGATTTTTTACTCTAAAGTGCCTAAAACTAATTTAATTGATATACACTGACTCTATCATATCCTGGTTTTAATTTATGAAACGAGTATTTTATTCAGATATTCTTTTGTTCGTCATTCTGTAAGAAGTCTGTAATTGCTATAAATTTGACTAAAATTATGTCTAACAGTGCACTATGCTTCCT